CCAGACTGGGGGGCGCCGGGGGCCTCGGCGTCCCCGGGAGCCCTGCCCGGCCTGCTGAGCCCCCAGGTCGGGCCGAGGGGGGGCCACGGCCCCGGGGCCCCGCACAGTGATCTCCCCCAGCGCAGGAGGCCCGCCGAGCCGCGGGCCCTCCAACAAGGGACCGGCCGGTTCCCGGGCCGCTCGGCCTGGGCGGAACGCAGCTGGGGCGACGGCGCCTTCGGGGGACCTTCGGGGTCCCCGCCTCCCTCCGCTCCCGGCGAGGTGGACGCGCGTGCCCGGGCGCGCATCGCGCTTTGCAGCATCTTCCCGCCCCACCAGGTGGACAGCGTCATGGCCCTGTTCCCGGCGCTCTCCGACGTCACCCGGCTCATCCTTCTCATCCAGAGATTCCAGACGTCTGGGGCTCCCGTGGGGAAATCCTAAGGAAGTCGTCCAAGCCACCGGAAGTCCCAATCTTGCCTTGCCGCTTGGTCAGGGCGGGTGGTCGGCCTGCCCCTGGGGCGAGCCACCCTGCAGCCCTCTTTTCTTTCAAGAAGGTCAGGGAAGCCGGCTTCCTCACCCTCAGCAGCACCCATGGTGGCACTTGATGACCCTCACTGACACTGCAGGGCTTGCTGCTGGAGGTCCGTGTCCTGCAGAATAAGGCTGGCCACATCCATGGAGGGAGTGGCCTCCTATGTCTGGAAGACTAGAAGGTCCCATGACGGCTCCAGGGGTTTGTCCAGAACACTGCATGGCTGTTTTGTCAACCTGCATTTGGGATCCACGAGTGGGTCACAACGTCAATTTAGTGGGTCACACCAGAAGGAGTGGTGTCGGAAATCTCAGAGCACAGGCCACATGACCAAGCTAAGTATGAAACTCTTGTATGTTAGCTACACGTGTGTGCACCTGTGTGCCCTTGGTAGCCGTGCAAACTTAACGTGGGTCATGGGCAAAAGTTTGAAAAATCCTGGTAAATGGCTTTGGCTTTTATTGCATCACGTGACATCTGAAATACGTAGTCAGTTGACTGGTGGAGGTCTTGGCATCTGATAGGTTTCATATCAGCTGTTTCTGACCTCATGAGAGGAACCTAGAATTCTAGCCTTGATGGGTGGGTCCGCTTGTCACTCTGTGTGGTTGGAGGTGGGGCAGGGGCACATGGTCTTGAGGGCAGAGCACAGATCCTCAACTGATTGAGCCTTCTAAGTCACACCTCACTCCTGAGTCAAGGCCCCGTGAGTCAGGACTTGTGCTCAGAAACCTCCAGGTGGGTCAGTGAAGAGCTGGGATGGGCCTCAGTCATGGGGGTTTATCGCCGCCTTCCACCAGTGCTGTTTCTTCCAGCCAGCTACTGCTTTGAGTTTTGGGGAGGAGGGACCCACCTGCTTGCAGTGGACAGGACACGAGACTGCTTGCGGGGTGTGAACCCTGCGTCCTCAGGGGCCCTGGCATCTCTAGTGGGCATCCACCCGTTCACCCTGGGTTACAAGTCCAGATGTGCAGGTCTTAGCTCATTTGTTCGTGAGGACCCTTGGTGGCTTGGCCATCAGGGAGAATGTGAGGCACCTCCCAGTGGAAAATCAGCTCCCATCCCCCAAAAGCTTCCTGCAGACTGGCGAATGCAAAGGGAAACTCTTCTCAGAGCATCGTTCAGCTGCATGCGTTGTGGACACAGAGCAGGGTGCACCCCTGGGAGAGTCTGCTTCTAGCCCTCTAGTTCATGGTAAATGCCGCCAGTGGAGGTACAGTGACGCTGTGTCTCCCTGTGACCCCTTTGACCTTTTTTTTTTTTTTTTTAAGTAGGCTTCATGCCCCATGCAGAGCCCAACTTGGGGCTTGAATTCACAACCCTGAGATCAAGACCTGAGCTGAGATCGAGAGTTAGATGCTTAACCGACTGAGCCACCCAGGCGCCCCCTTTTCGTCTTTTTAAACCAGATTCTTAGAGTGGCTCCAGCCTGATCTGTTCTTCACCTCTTTTTGCCAGAGGACAACTGCACCCACAGTTATATCTTAGTATTTTGGGAACTTAGTCCTGAAGAGGCCCCACCCTTCCTGGATAAAGTGGATTTCCCTCGTGGTGTTTTGTTTTATTTTTTCCTTTCTTTTGACAAGACAACTTTATGTGTTTGTCTCTTGGGTCTGTCTCCTGACGTAGAGCCGTCTCCTTGCTGACTTACAGTTGGAGATGTTTAAACTGCTTCCTTTGAGGACAAGTTTGAGTTTTAGTAAGCTGTAAAGCTATTTTATTTGGTTCACTGTGATGAAGACAAGCACAAAAACAGGTGAAGAGACAGCGCTTTTCAGTGTAATCCCCTTTGGAATTTTTTCCAAAGTCTTGGTACGTCGTTTTGACACAAAACATGGATGGATGGGTGACTGAAATGTTCCTAGTTGCATAACTGTCACCGTGATCCAAAAATAAATCACTTTTATCCACACCTGGCCTCTCTGTTACCAAATTGTATATCATTTTCTCCCATGGCGGCTTCTCCCCTTAGGCCAAGTTTTCACGTCAAATATTGTGGGTGTGAAAACTGATGTTGTGGCTGCCTTATTTAGTGTTATTCCTCCCTTGGGGGTGAGGAGGCTGGGATCCGCCTTTTCCAGGGGAGGCCCAAGGTGAGAACATGCCTTTGCTGGATGTTCAGCCGGCGGTTACCAAGGACACAGGTTGCTTATCTGTTTGCTAGACTTTTAAAGTCCTCGTTACAGAACCACAAAGCAGTCTCATAAAAGCCGTTCTTCCTGTGTAAACCTGCAGCAGAATCCTTGATTGCTCAGATCGGAGGAGCCTGCTGCTATACCGTGCTTTTGCTGGGGCTGCTTTCCCAGAGGCCTCTGGGCGGCGGTTTGCGGCAGAAACTGCAGAATATCAGGGGTTAAGGGGGTACAGACAGGAGAAGCCACTCACGTCAGCCTTGCTCCAGGTAAAATGAATCCCAGCCCTCCGGAGTTTACACAGAATTCACGTAGGGGACAATGAGCCAACTGCCCGCTGGCAAGAGTACAGCTTCCGTTCTCTAGGAGAACAGTCCCTGTGGGGAGAAGAGCGTGGTGGGGGGGAGGGGAAGAGGCATTAAGGAATGGGTGATGGGGGAGGGGGCTCTGGGAGATGGAACAACTACTTGGAATCACAAATCCCACCGTGAGGGAATGCACAGAGCCAGGCCCAGCTACTTGTGGGGCCCTGTATGGATTTAAAATGCAGGGCCCCCCAGGGGCGCCCGGGTGGCTCCAGCTAAGTGTCTGGGGCTCAGGTCGTGATCTCACGGTTCGTGAGTTCGAGCCCCACGTCGGGCTCTGTGCTGACAGCTCGGAGCCTGGAGCCTGCCGCGGATTCTGTGTCTGCCTCTCTCTCTGCCCCTCCCTTGCTCGCACTCTGTGTCTCTCTCTCTCTCAAAAATAAATACACGTTAAGAAACAAATTTAAAAAAATGCAGGTACCTGTTCAAACGTGGTCAAGAATGTCAAGACAGCACAGCATTCAACCAAGCATGGGGTCCTTCTAAGTGGGGGTGCCCCGTGTGCCTGCCTACTGCCCACGAAGCTGCCCGGTGTGGAATTACCAAGTGTGCAAGGGAACATTTTGCATGCCCAGAGTGTCGGAGCCCAAGATATGATGTGCACACTTCATAGCTGGGAAAGGCCACATGTGTCCAGGGAGGGTCCTGGTCCCCCCGGGTCTCCCCCTCAGGGACTGTCTACTGCACCCCCTGAGGACTGACTGAGCGGACCTTCCTTGGCTTTCTCTGCCCTCCTCTGACAACAAGGGGCAGAAGAGGAGAAGTTAAGGGTCCTGGGAAACCAGACGCCGGACCAGCTCTGTCCGTATGAGTACGAGAAGGCAGTGGGGGTGGGCCCAGCTGGGCAGCGAGTATACTGGTTTGTATTGGGCAAGGCTCTTTGGGTGCGGGCATGGCTTACAAACCAAAGGTCAGGAGGCCAGGGGCGGAGGCGGCTTCGGGGTCGGCTGCAATGACGGGCTTGAACCCTGTCTGTCAGAATTCTCTCTTTGGTTTTCTTCTGCATGTGGATTATTCTCTCCTTCTGAGGTTTTCTCTGCACAGCGAGGGCCACTGTGTTGGCAGACCCAGGCACGTGTCCTTCCAGCTGAAGGACTTTCAGCCTCAGAAAAATCCTGGGAAGAATTGAGTGACCTGACTTGGGTCATGTGCCCAGCACTGAACCAGTCACTGTGAGGTGTTGCCCTAGACGCAGCTGGGTCTCACGGCCCCGTCTGGCTCAGATGAGGGCACGAACTGTGATTGTCAGCTCCCGCCAGACCCCACACGGTTGGGGGGGGGGCGGGAGGTTTAAGGGGATGCCGGCCTCTTCCCTCAGATCTGAGAAGCGGGCACGGTGTCCAGGCAGACAGAATGAATGCCAGGCAAAACAACAGCGCTCAAATCTGGACTCTGGGCCAGGGTTTAGGTTGGCCGCACCGTCCTCCACCGCCGGCTTCGGTGGCACCGGAGAAGGGAGCCGCTGTGTGTCTTCTCTTTCTCGCTTAATCGGGAAAAACCTTCCATCCACAGTCAGCACAGCTCTCTGCGGGAGCAAGTTGGAGGGCCTGCTGCTACAGGGCCTGAGCGATTGTCGTGCGCATCTCGCCACTCCCGGCTTGCAGCCAGATGAGCACTTAGGTGGGAGACTGCCAAAATGCCCCGCAGAGGAGGAGGTGGCTCTTCTGAGTCAAAAGGTGACCTTGTTCCCTTTGACTCACTTCTGAACCGATGCCCTCTAGAACTCAGGAAGCTCTCAGGATCGGAGCGCCCAGCCCAGCCGCTGGCAGCTTCGCTGAAAAGGGGGGGCGGGGGCGGGCCCTGGCCCAGCTTGGTAATTACTTAGCTCCGAGTTCCTGGGGGAACAATGTCACCTCTCTGTCCTTATGGAGGAATGACATACTTAACCCCAATGCCCAGGAACAGGAAAGGTGTGGTAAATAAACAGAAAGGCAAGTGGGCCACAGGGCTCAAAAGCCAGTCGAATGCCGTATATATATCGACTGGCTGGCTGGCTGACGCTGAGTGACACTGAGTGACACTGACTGGGTGGCTGACAAGGTCTGAGTAATCACTCAAATAGGGTTAGTAAACCACAATAGTTGCGACTTTGCCTGAAGTCCAACTTACTCTTGAAAATGGCATCTGTGTTGACTAAAACAAGCCACACCAAGCCTTACCGATGCCGTTCTTGTTGGGGTAGTGGATGGAGGCTTCTTCCCCCCAAAGGAAGGATGGGAAGCACAGGATGGAAATGAGGTCTCCCTCTTTGCACCGGTGATTTTTTTTCCCAGTCCGGCCCCCTTTTCCTTTCTCTGAGACTGTCTCTAGCCCTCGTTTTCTCAAAGCCCCTTCTTCCTACAGAACCACCTTCTCAGTGGTCTTTTGGGGGCCATGTTTCACTTGATTGTATGTAACTCCTCTGCTCTGTCC